TGCATGTTGAGCGAGCCGCAGACAGGGACACGCGCGAGCTAAACTATGAAATATTCATTACGTTAGCAGCTTTGTCAACAGAAAGCATACGCACTTTCGCAGAGATACGAGCGCATCTGCCTGCGGCTGTATGTATAACAGACCGGAGGAGGAGTTGGGAAAGACCGAAAGAGCGGAGAGAAACGTAGCGCGTGCGTCTATAGAAGAATACCGAGTAAATAACGCGGGGAGTATATTAACACTGTTAATAAGGCACCCTGTTAATACAAGCCGCAAAAAAGCAAAGAACAAGAAGCGACGCGTAAACAGGCCAGGAAAAGAGAGAGGAGAGAGAGAGAGAGAGAGAGAGAGAGAGAGAGCGAGAGAGAGAGAGAGAGAGAAGAGAGCAGAGTAACAGATACAAGATCAGAAGGCAGCATAAAGGAGAAAGAGCGAAGAGAAGTGGGAGAGAGAGTATGAGGAGAGAGGAGAGAGAGACCGCAGAGGCCTATTAGAGGAAATCGAGTAAAGCTAACGAGAGACACAGAGGAAACAGAGCAATGAAGCCAACAATGAGGAAAGTCAAATAGAGAGAAGAGACGGGAAGAGCGAGAGGGAAGGAGATTTCCAGTTTGATAATGTGTCCATAACTCAGCGTGACATTGTGCATGGCACGCAAAGGCAATATTGTAATGATTAAAATATATAGGCCTCGCCTTCGCAGACGCAATAAAGTGCGTAACACGCACGTACTTAGCGAGACAAGCATCGAGGAGAAGTGAGTCACGTCACGAAATGTCATTTAAAAGCTATTTATTATGCAGAAAGCCACCCGTGTAGTGACTGCGCGCGACCGTGAGGAGTAGATAGTCGCTACGCTCACTCCGACGTTGCACTATACACTGACAAAGGCGGGCAGATGTACTTCTTCGCTAGCTGACACGCGGATGGCTTAGGTAAGGGGTAGAGTAAATATCAGGGACAGCACAGACGATAGGCAGGTAAATAACAAAACCTTATATCAACAAACCAATGTCGAGTTATAATTACGGTATCTGTTGTACTTGAGGCAACTGGATATGTCGGTTGATGCATTTGCTATGGTATGCCAGACGAGCTGTAGACAGAGATAGCGTGTATGTGTGCAGGTAAGTGTGGTCAGTGCGTACGTGCGCGTATATGAGAGGACGGCGCGGCGAGATAGGAGAAGCGTGAGGAGAGAAGACAGTCATGAGAGAAGAGAGAAGAGCGCGAGCGAGAGAGAGAGAGGGAGAAGATAGAGAGCGCGCGAGAGAAGAAAGACAGAGCGAGAGAGCGAGAGAGAGAGAGAGAGAGGGGAGGAGAGAGAGAGAGCGCGAGAAAGACAGAGAGATAAGAAAGAGAGAGAGGAAAGCGAGGGAGACAGAGAGAGAGAGAGAGTAGAGAGAAGAGAGACAGAGAGCAGATGCTACGCGAGAGAGATAGAGAGAGCAGCAGCGCAGACAGACAGAGACGAGAGAGACAGAGGAAGACAGACTGAGAGAGAGAGAGACACGAGACAGAATAGATAGAGAGCAGAGAGATAGAGAGCGCGATGAGAGAAGAGACAGACGCGAGAGAGAGAGAAGAGAGAGGGAGAGAGAGAGAGAGAGAGATATGAGAAGAGACGAGCAGGTCGGGAGCGCGAGAGAGGGTGGCGAAGAGAATCCGTTATGACCAAGAATAACTTGATAGTTCACGGCCTTACCTATTTGCACAGCGATGCCACGTAGATGGCTATACGATGCCGGGTGAAAACGCGGGGCAAATAACTTCCATGAGCTCACTGCATACATACCGAAGCACTTACGCGCACTATTACGAACCCTGTCGACGCTAAATGGCCACTATACATCTAGCCATATACATCTACCACTATTAATCTAGCCCCTATACATCTAGCCATTAATACATCTAGCCGTATACATCTAGCCATCATAACATCTAGCACTATACATCTAGCCACTATACAATCTAGCCATTATACATCTGAGCCATGTATACATTAGCATTATACATTCTGACCACTATAATCTAGCCATTATACATCTTAGAACTATACATCAGCCATTCATACAATCTAGCAACTATACATCTAGCTCGACTATACATCTAGCCACATATACATCTAGCCATTATAATCTAGCCATTATACATCTAGCCATTATACATCTAGCCCAATATACATCTAGCATTATACATTCTAAGCATTATACATCTAGCCACTATACATTCTAGCACTTTACATCTAGCCATTATTAACATCTAGGACTATACATCTAGCCATTTACATCTAGCAACTATACCATCTAGCCATTATACATCTAGCCACTGTATACATCTAGCCATTATACATCTAGCCATCATACACTCTAGCACACTATACATACTAAGCCTTATACATTTCAGCCATGCATACTGAGCAACTATTACATCTAGCAACTATAGCATCTACGCCATTATACATCTAGCAATTACATACTAGCCACTATACATCTAGCCATTCATACATTAGCCATAACATTTACCATGTACATAGCCAATATAACTAGCAACTATAATCTGAGCAACTTACATCTACCATTATACATCTAAGCCCATTAATACATCTCACCATTATACATCTACCATATACATCTAGCCACTATATACATCTAGCCCACATACTCACTATAATCACCACTATAACCATTTAGCCATGTATAATCTAGCCATTATCATCTAGCCAATATACATCTACGCTTATACATCTAGCCTATTATACATACTAAAGCCACTATAATCTAGCACTACTATACATCAACGCATTTACATCTAGCAACTATACAATCTAGGCCATTGATAAATTAGCAAACTATTACATTTAGCCCATTATACAGTCTAGCCATTCACTACGCCATACATAGCCCACTATACATCTAGCCACTATACATCTAGAAACTTCTAGCCTATGATTAGCCATTATACATCTAGTGTTCTGGTGAGCATCACGTTCCGTTTTTATAGCATGCTAATAAACCACACGTATTGATACACCTTGCTTAATTAGGCACGTAGACGTTACATAAACAGGGACTAATTGGTCGCTCTGGGCTGCAGGGTCCTTGAAGGAAACCCGTAACGCAAACGATTTGTCTGTCGTGTCCGAAACTAATTGGATCTTACGGTTTGAATTTGGCCGTCCTTCTCCTGCCACACGGGCGCAAACCACTCGCGAGTGTCGGTTCGTCTGGCCCTCCGAGCACTGTAATTGTTTTGCCTCTTGTGCCTGCTATCATACACAGACTCCTTGCGTCGAACGGAGAGAGCCCATACCGAGATGCACAGGAGCAGTGCGCTGCGCCTGCGATACGTTACGTTGTTGTTTCAAACGAGAGAACGAGAGAACGAGAGAACGAGAGAAAAGAAGAAGAAGAACGAGAGAAGAGAGAAAAGAAGATGAAAGAGAGAACGAGAGAAGAGAAGAGAGAGACGTAAGGAACGAGAGAATATGAGAACGTAGAGACGAGAGAGAGTAGAGGAACGGAGAAAAGAGAAAGAAGAAACAAGGAGAGAGAGAAAGAAAAGAACGAGAGAACGAGAGAACGGAGAGAAGAACGAGAAGGAGGAAGAGAACGAGATGAAGAACGAACGAAAGAAGAGAGAGCGAGAGAAAGAGAGAACGCGGAGGAGAAGAGCAGAAGAAGAAGAAGAACGAAGAAGTAGAAACGCAAAGAAGAGAGAACGAATAAGAAAGAGAACGAGCGAACGAGAGAAGAGAGATCGAGAGAAACGACAAGAAGAAGAACACCGACGAAACGAGAGAGGAGCCAGAGTCGAGGGAACGATGAGAAGAGAGAACGAGAGAACGATTAGGAGAAGAGGAACGGCGAAAAGAACAAGAACGAGAGAAGAGAGAACGAGAGAAAGAAGCAGAACGAGAAACAGAGAAAAGAGAGGAACGGAGAGAGAGAGAAAAGCAACGAGGGAACGGAGAGAAGAGAAGAAGAACGAGAAAACGAGAGAAGAGAGAACGGAGAGAAGAGAAGAAGAAAGAAAGAACGAGAGAACGAGAGAACGGAGAGAAGAGAGAAGAGAAGAAGAACGAGAGAAGAAGAACGAAAGAAGAGAGAACGAGAGAAGAGAGAACGGAGAGAAGAGAGAAGAGAAGAAGAACGAGAGAAGAAGAACGAAAGAAGAGAGAACGAAAGAAAAGAGAACGAGAGAACGAGAGAAGAGAGATCGAGAGAACGAGAGAAGAGAGAACGAGAGAACGAGAGAACGAGAGAAGAGAGAACGAGAGAACGAGAGAAGAGAGAACGAGAGAACGAGAGAAGAGAGAACGGAGAGAAGAGAAGAAGAACGAGAGAACGAGAGAACGAGAGAAGAGAGAACGGAGAGAAGAGAAGAAGAACGAGAGAACAAGAGAAAAGAAGAAGAACGAGAGAAGAGAGAAAAGAAGAAGAACGAGAGAAGAGAGAAAGAAAGAACGAGAGAGGAGAGAACGAGAGAAGAGAAGAAGAACGAGAGCACGAGAGAAGATAGAACGAGAGAAGATAGAACGAGAGAACCATAGAAGTGAGACGAGAAGAAAAACGAGAGAAGAGAGAACGAGAGCACGAGAAAATGAGAGGAAGGCGAGAACGAGAGAAGCCCTACCGCGAAGATAGCAAAGCAGCGTGTGCGCTGCGATAGCATTACCTTGTTGTTGTTGTCGTCGAATCGTGTAGGCGTGCATGCGCCGGGTGGACAGGGAAGGATGTGGAGCACCACACCAGCGAGTGTTTATGCGTTGATGTGTTAGCTGACGTCGAGATGGAATCGTAATTTTACACGCTCGCTTACTCTTCTTACTCATATACGCGTCCTTCTACTTCTTCTTCTCTGCCTCCGGTGCATAGTTTTTCCCTTCTTCTGCCTTCTCTTCTTCTTCCTCGTTCTTTGCATCCTCATACTACTACTATACCCGTGGTCTTCCTCCTCGTGCTCGTTCTCCGCCGCCGCTCACGCTTGTCCCTTCTATCCCTCTTCCTCCTCCTACTCTTCTTCCTCCTCCACCGCCTCATCCTGTCATGCTTAGTCCTTCTCCTACTAGTGTGTGTGTGTGTGTGTGTGTGTGCGCGCGTGTGTGTGCGTGCGTGCGCACGTGTGTGTGTGTGAAGTGCAAGGCCATCAGCAGGCAACGATTCACACGCCCAGAGCAGCAACACGCGTAAGCTGCGTCTTCATCCCATCTCCCCACATCACCAAGATTCTCTTAGAGCCAGTATAGAAGCCTTTCTCATCGACAGCAGAAGATGAGGCAACCTCGAAAGTCCGCCAACGCCGCAAAATACTCAAACGTACACCTAATGCACATACCGTAAACATCGCTGAATCTCCCGGACTAACTCACGAGGGAGAGCTGTCGAAGCATCCGCGGGGTCCGGTAACCGGCTTGTCGTCGCCACTCGCTCAATGCCGCTTCCCACGCATGCCTGCAAGGCGATGGTACGATGCTATAGAAGAATGGGAGACTCTCGGGGGATGAGCGCGTGAAATACACGAGTGGGAAGACAACCGAGCGTTTTCGCAATAACTTAGTGAGTGTTCAACATTTTCAATCGCGATAGTGGTGCAACTGGTTGAATCGCATGCGAATATTTAGATGCTCTTAGAACCGCTATCAATGTTGTGTAATGTTGCCAGTGTCACGAATAACAGACAGTAGGGAGAGAAAATTAAAAGCCGCTATTATAGGCCCCTATATCAGATAATCCTGGTAACAATACACTTTCAACAATACAGTGTGTATTGTACATAAACATAACATATAATAAAATATCTAGCTGAGAAACAAAAGTGACACGAATGTGTGATTAATAAAAATTAATTATTACAATAACCACTTAACGTATCAGCTTATGATAGTAACTGGAATATTCTAAACACTGATTTCAAACTTCCAAACGGCAACTATATTTATATCTATTACTACCTAATCAAGAACTATAATTGACATTAATGTGAATGAACACATGGACCTGAATTACCAGACTATGTTAGGAGCGGAAGTATTTTCTTCTACCTCTCTTATTCCATCCACTTTTCTTAATGTGGGAGCATACGGACGCTATCATTTTCTCGATTAATCGAGTATAGGTTCATTCTTAATTAAAACGAAGGGCCAATTAATATCATACTGACACCGCATGATTGCCGGCGAAGCGCGCACACCATCGTTGTTAAATTCATTTGAGTTTTCCCGCATTTTCAGTAATTACAGTATTGTTACCAATACATCAGTGTAGCCGCAGGGGTAGCGTGTGGATAAGAGGTAGTTATCGGGGAGGAAGTGAACAGTTATCTCTATTGTACGATAAATGCGCGATGATATTGTAACCAACGGAGATACAGCGGGGCTGTGTAGCCATTCACGGGGGAAAATGAATGCTACACGGGCAGCAAACGCGGGGAACCAAGCAATGCGAACGTTTGAGCGCTGTGCATTCATTTTCTGGCCTCGGCACGCGTTATTACCGGGAGATACTGGCCTTCGGTACACCGACCACAGCTATTGCACAGCCCCGCTCGTCCTTTGTGAAGTCTAAACAGTTTATGTTCAACACGCATACGTTTCGTGCAACTGCCAACCCACTTAAACGCGTTTGCCATCTGAACCTTTTGCAAGCACGGCGAACCCACACGTTTTCCCCACTCCGATGTTTCGAAACGGGCCTATATAATGCATGCATCGCATATACACAGGATGCCAAGGTCGACCCTAGATGCGCGGTCAGCGCGGACAAGGGTCTAGTGTAACGCCACATTATATTTGTGACCCCGACAGCACATCGTACGGTGGTCTCTCGGATGACGTACAAACCTGCGTAGCACATGCTGCTGCTGCTGCTGCTGGTCTCTAGCGTTAACGGACACTTTACGGCCATTAAGGAGAACAGTGCGTTTCAAAGTAAGGTAGCAAGCAAGTGGCGATGACGATACTGTATATATGAGGCGCATATACTGCACTCGCGGGCTGCGGCAACTCCTACTAGCTTTACACATTCGCGCGGGCATTGCCGCAACAATATTAGCACTTGCTCGGCACGTAATTAGAGTTAATTAGATTTATAGAGGCAGACACGTGTTGGTGGATTTAATGGCGACGGGGTCCTATAGAACGACTAGAGTCGAACTACTACGCGATCGTGCATTTGTACGTAACCGCAGCAGCAGCAGCAGCAGCAGCAGCAGCAGTAGCAGCAGCAGTAGCAGCAGCAGCAGCAGCGGCGGCAGCAATAGTAGCAGTAGCAGCAGTACCACCACCACCAGCAGCAGTAGCAGCAGCAGCAGCAGTAACAGCAGCAGCAGCAGCAGCGGCAGCAGTAGTAACAGTAGCAGCAGTACCACCACCAGCAGCAGCAGTAGCAGCAGCAGCAGCAACAGCAGCAACAGCAGCAGCAGCAGCAACAGCAGCAACAGCAGCAGCAGTAGCAGCAGCAGCAGTACCACCACCACCACCAGCAGCAGCAGCAGCAGCAGCAGCAGCAGCAGCAGCAGCAGCAGCAGCAGTACCAGCAGCAGCAGCAGTACCAGCAGCATCATTATCAGCCGTAGCAGCAGTAGCCGCAGCAGCAGTACCAGCAGCAGCAACAGCATCATTATCAGCAGTAGCAGCAGCAGCCGCAGCAGTAGTACCAGCAGCAGCAACAGCATCATTATCAGCAGTAGCAGCAGCAGCAGCAGCAGTACCAGCAGCAGCAACAGCATCATTATCAGCAGTAGCAGCAGCAGCAGCAGCAGTACCAGCAGCAGCAACAGCATCATTATCAGCAGTA